TTGATTACATTGGACCACTTCCACCATGGAAAAGGTGTTTTCTTCTTACTGGAATAGACGCTTCTTTTGGATACGCATCTGCCTTCTCCGTATGCAATTCTTCTATGCATACTATGCAAAACTATCATCTATAAATTTAAATATCTTATCCCCATCGTGATGACCCACACAACATTGCTTCTGATCAAGGAACTCAATGTGTGGCAATGGGCCCATGCCCATGAAATTCATAGGTCTTACCATGTCTCTTACCATCCTGAAGCACCTGGCTTGATGTAACACTGGCCCTTTGAAAACTCAAGTTATAGCTCCAGTTAGGTGACAATACCCTACAGCACTAAGGAATTGAATGCCAAGTTATCTATACTCTAAATATTATGCTTTCTTCCATAGCCAGGATTTACAGGTGCAAGAATCAAGTGAAGATGGGAGTGGCAGGCACCACTATTACCCATAATATGTGATCCACTAGCAAAAATTACTTTCTATCCCTGAGATCTTATGTTCTGGTCTAGAGATCTTAGTTCCAAAGGGAAGAATGCTTCCACCAAAAGACAAAGCAACTTAATTCAATTGAACTGGAAGTGAAGACTGCTTGGAGTGCCTCAAGCTTCTTCATCAACAAAGTGGAGAATTACTATACTGGCTGGAGTGATTGATCCTGACTACCAAGGAGAAACTGGGTTGCTACTGCACCATGCAGACTTGAGGAGGTTAAGGAAAAGGATGTCTGGAATAAATATCTGTACTACCATGTCCTGTGATTAAATTAGTAAAGAACTACAATGGATTGCTCTTTCAGCCATTTATTTTTATTTACAGTTTGTGTTCAATGCAAATCAATTCCATAACATGAGAAGTTACTATGAATCAAAGCATAAATACACAAACACAATCAATATACAATCCAAAATAGATGTACAGCATTCAGGTATGAAACAAAAGGGAATGTTCATTCACACACACAGTAGCTTGAGATCTGTTGGATGTGGTGTTCCTGTGTACATTTCTAAAGATGGAAAAAAACGACTGGTTATCAAGACTACTGTGGCCATATTAGATACTGGAACATTTAAGCATCAGTGTGTGACCATGCGAACAAAAGACTTTAGGGAATGTCTATTTTTAAAAAGGTTTCTGTGCATCGAGGCAGTTGTGAAAAGATTTACTTTCCAGAATCAAGCCCACATTAGGCTTAGGATCAGGTTCTATCTAAAAATATTGACCGGTAACAGAAAGTGTTCCAAATGGCTATCCTGATTGAGTCATAGTTTTTAAAAAAAGTATGTACAGAAAGAGTATAAAAGTTTTTCTGAATTTAATGTAAGTAAGCTTCCAGTCTTAACTTCCCAAATACCTGATTTATAGTTTTGGCTCCTTCACATATTTGCCTTTTCAATTTTAAGATGGCCAATTTTGCCTTCAAAATATACCATTTTTAAAATTGTAAAAAGTATTCAACGTATGCAGAAATAAAAAGCATTCTGAAATTGAGGTCAGTGTACTTCTACTTCCTTGGAATTAGTTTAGCTAAATGAATCTGGCACTCTTGAGTAAGGATAGGTGGTAAGTATATAAGCAAAATTTACTCATTATGCTTGGATTTGGGGTAGATTCCAATCCATCATTGCCCTGGCACATGTCAATTACTATATAAAAAGTCAAATGCAATGTCAAATCCAAAGCCTCGAAAGAAAGAATTCAGTTCCCAAGAGAACAGTGATAGCTTAACAATGTAAAACTTTTTCTAGAGTGACATCGGCTTTAAATTAGTACTATAAAACAATACAGAGGATTTATAGGAAGATCTGGAAGTTCCTTCTAAAGTACAGATCAATAGAATCATGGAAGCTTTTTAAACTACCTGTTTTATGGCCTTATAGCTTTAAATGAACCAAATGAAAACTGAATCTGTTCCGAATCCCATCCTTTATCTCTAGATAAGATAAAAGCTATTCATTTTCAAGGTAAAGTTTTGAGTCCATACTTCTTAAGCCACATTTAAGGAAATCATCTCTTAACTGATTTTGGATATGTCTCTCTTCATCTTGTATATGAAACTCCAGCAGATTTAATATTGGCATTCATCATCTAGTCAAACCCTGCCCATGCTCTTCAAACCAATCAAATTTGGGATCCTCAACGTTTTCTGTGTCAATAAAATAAGGTGTGGAATTAGCAGATTCAACGAAGACCTGTTTTTTCCTTGTCACATTGGATGTCTAGACGCCATTTGGATTCGGTTTAGAAGATAGGGAAGTATAGACGCTTCTTGGCCTGAGTCTCTTAACAGTAGAGATGTAGAAGAGAGACCGAGATCATAAAGAGACTGGCTGTTGACTGAAGAGCACCTCCACTTGCCTTGGTGGTGGCATTCGCTGGACTTGGGGTAGTCGAGGTATTTTGGGTGGAGTTACTTGAAACTGTTACAGCAGTTGTTTGGTTTGAATAAATCTAAAATATATAAAATGTTACCGATAAATTTCCACTTGTCACAGCTGCCTCCACATTTTACTTAACATGTGATTAAGGTAAGTCTTTTGGATTGTTTCTCTCCATTATTTACTAACCCACATCATTTAATTCTGAATTCTTGCTTCATCTCACCAAGATCATTCTCTTTAGTTTCAAAACAAACTACCTAGAGATGCCAAATGAATGCAAGTAGCAACAACAAAAAAAAACAAAAAATGTTCTCCAATAAGTCTAACTCCCAAGGAGATGACTCTTATTTTTAATTCTTTATAAAGCAATAAAAGAACAAGTTAACTAATCAAGTTTCTGTGATTATTCTAATTTACTGGCATTCCAAAAAGGTTTCCTCTGTTTTCTCAGGAAGAGGGAGATTTTAAAGTGCACAAATCGGATTTTAAAATATTGTAGTCTGAGACTTACGGTACTAGAATTGAGTCATCTATACTGGATCTTCTAGGTAACTTTCATGTACCCAATTACTACCACCTTGGTTTTAACTTAAAAGGATATGAAGTATCTGCTTCTCCTTGTAATCCTGGAGTTACATATAACTCCTCTCCGAAATGGCCACAATATGTGTTTTAAATTGAAAAATATAACGAGCCCTTGCCTTAAGGCAAAATTTCACCAAAAAACACCAAGAAGTCAGAATGACTTCACAAAAAGACACCAAGAGGGTTTGGTGTTTTCACCACAAGCAGCCTCCCTGCCTGGTCACTAAGCCCAGCTCTGTGGCCAAGAACTAAGGTTCCCCCCGTGTCCCAGCGCCTGAGTGGCATCATTCACCACACTGATTTTTCAAGTCACAAAATGCACAGTCCCGTGGGGCACGTGATAATCTCTCCTTTGTCACAGAACAAAGGCAGATGGGAGATTTCAGCTCTCACTGCAAAGGAGGGTTTACAAGGGCTTCTAATTACAGACAGGACAGAGGATGTGGCACCAAGCAGGTCTGGGCTACATGTACATTTAGCTGCTTGATAATCCAAAGATAAAACCATTCTATATCAGCACCAGCCCCTTTTGTTGTAAAACCCATAAAGGCCATCAAGCAAACATTGACTATAGAAATGTAGAAGTCCTATCCAAAATAGACTAACCAAAGGCGGGGAGGGGGGCGCGGATCTTGATCAAGTCAAATCTATTTATTGGGCACCTACTATGTGCAAGATTCAGCTTGTCCTACCTGGAAAGAGCACTCCCAACGAAAAGGGTTAATAATATGGGAATTTATTTAAAACGGGGCGTTCTGTTTAGGGGCAAGACCTGGCTTGGAATCCTTGAAAGTAATCTGTTTTTATTCACACAAAATGTTTTGCTACAGCAGGTGACTTTTTCAATAAAGCCCAGTGCATCAATAGGGCAATATAAAGGTCTTCTGCACCACCAACAAAAATGCAAACGGTGATGTATTGAATTGACATTAAACAAAAAATTCCCTACAAGACTAGATTTATTTGCTTAACTAAAACCCTCTGTTTAAAATTTTCTGGGGAAAAATCTGGCTGGAAAGGAGATGGGGAGCGGGTGGGAGAGTCCAGTTGGTTTCTTGCAGCCGCGCCCCTCCCCCACCGAGGAATTGTGAAAGCCTCCCGAGCCCAGCCGACCCGCAAAACAATAGGGTACAGTTACCCGCCCGCGGAGGGGAAGCCGAGGAGCGCCCGCTCTCAGGCTGCGCTGCCAGGTGAGCCCGGAGGCTGACTGTATGAGGACCAATGACCTGGAGCACCCAACTTTTCAGAAAATCTCAGGAGACACTCCTCAGAAAGCCCCAATTGAAGGCGGTGGAGAACCATCCCTGCCCGCCAAGCCTGAGCTACTGGAGAGAAATGCCTTTTCTCGATACCCTACCCCCACCTCCCACCCCTCCCGGTCGGGTCTCCCAGGTTCAGACCCTGGCTTCCCTTGAGGCGGCCGCACGCCCATCCGCCCCGCAGCGCGGTTCCTGATAAGCGCGCTGGAGCGAGGTCGGTTCCCAGGACAGAGGATAGGGGCGGGCGGCGGGGGCCAAGGGGGGCGAGGGTACAGAGACAAAGCCTGGCGGGGACTTGGGACAGAGCGTCCTACCCGCCGCCTGCCCAGGGCTGGCAAATATGGCCCAACACGGGTCAACACGGGGCTCCGAGGTGAGAAGAGATGGACATGTAAGGTAGCACCCAGGAGAGCGCTGTGTCGGGAGAGGGTCCCCGCCCAGGCTTCAACCTCGTACCACGCGGGGCTGGGGTGGGTTAAAAGGGCCGGCTAGTCGGGGCTTTCTCGGGATCCCGGAACCAGCTGAGTGGAGGATGGTCGAAAGCGGCGCCCCCATAGGGGATCGTCCGCTCTCTTTGTGTGGTGCGCTGGGGTGAGAACACTCCTAGAGGGAAGCGAGGCGCTCAGGAAAGCTAGGGACGACCTCTCCTAAGAGTCGGAGGTGTCCGGGCGCTCCAGAGGTGAGGAGCACATTCTCTTCCCCGCTCGTGCTTCCGACTCCTCGGTTAAAGCTGGAGGTGGGAGAAAGGCTGCCTGGGAAGGGGCGGCGAGGCACCTGGGGGTGGGGCAGGGTCCTACCAGCCCACTCGCGGACCTGCATTGTTCCCAGGGCCGCGGAAGGGGTGCGGGCAGCTCGCAAGGGAGTGGAATGTAGCCTCCATGTGACCCTCCCCTAGGTCAGATTGTGCCAGATCTTCTCTCCGAGTCCCAGCCCACGGCCCCAAGGGAGAGGAGCAACAGGCCGGTCCCTGGGGGCGTCTCTAATCCCCTCGGGCGCGGCCCCCGAGCCCCGCCGAGCGCCAGGGCCTCACCTGCGTGGGTAAGAGCAGCGCCAGAAGCAGCAGCCCCAGTCCGAGCCTGGCTACCATCGCTCTGCCCATGTCCGCTCCGTCGGTGCGCGGCGCGTCTCACTGGATGGCGAGTGTGTGAAGAACCGCTGGCTTGCAGGAGGGCGCAGGCAAGGTGGGGAGCGCGACTGGCCAGCGGGACTTTATATACCAGGACAGCTACAATAGCCGTGACGTGGCGCCGCCCTCCCGCCCACCCGCACTCCCCTTCTCCGCCGCCGCCGCCCCCCG